GTCATTTGATTTTTTGACTGCTGCTTCCATGAGTGTTGATAGTTGATCCAAGAAAAATGAAGTCCTTGACAAGTTCAATCTTTTCTCCGTTGATAAGAATGTTGTTTATTGGTCCAATGGTAAGGATTTTTGTTTTCTTTAAACTGAGATGCAATCCATAACTGTGGTCTTTGATCTTCATCAGTAAATATTTTAAGTCCTCTTCACTTTCAGCAAGCAAGGTTGTATCATCTGCATATCACAGGTTGTTAATTGTGTTCATGAGGAATCTGTACCTGGACCAAGAGGCAGTTGTTCAAACAGAACATGGGAACACTGAATGGTTTAAAATTTAAAAAGTTGTGCGACAGGGTTGTATTCTTTCGCCATACTTATTCAGCCTGTATGATGAGCAAATAACTGAGAAGCTGGGTCATATGAAGAAAAATATGGCATCAGGATTGGGGGAAGACTCATTAACAACCTGCGATATACAGATGATACAACACTATAACTTTGGGTTATAGGAATAGCGTAAAATAAGGTTCAGTCACTATAAGAAAGGAAATAATAAAGATTACAGAAGTAAATAAAACAGAGAACAGAAATACAATAGAAATAATCAAGACCAGAAGTTGTTTCTTTGAAAGGGTCAATAAAATCAACAAGCCACTGGCCAAATTCAGTAAAGTAGAAGTGAATAATCCAAATAAAAATGAGATGGATGACATTCCAACAGAATCAACTGAAATAAAAAGACCATAACAGAATACTATGAAAAATTATATTACAACAAATTTGAAAACCTAGAGGAAATGGACAAATTCCTAGAAACACACTACCCAAACTAGCACAAAATGAGGTAAAAGACAAGAACAGGCCCATATCAAGAGACTGAAAAGAAATTTTTTTATAAATGACCTGGCCCAGATGGTTTCACTGAAGAATTCTACCAAACATTCAAAGAAGAGTTCTCACCAATACCACACAAGCTATTTCAGAGAATAGAAAAGGAAAGAATATTCCCCAATTCATTCTATGAAGTCAATTTAACCCTGATAACTAGAATCTGGCAAGGAAACTACAAAAAAAAATTAAAAAAAAAAAGATCGTGGGTTCATCAACAACTGCAGCTATGAGTCAGGAGAAACCTCCAGCCTGACCCACAGACTTGAAACTTTCCTGTTCTACAACTGTGTGAGCCATTTCCTTGAGATTACACACA